ATCTTGGTGCCTCGTAGGGATAGTAGTCCTCGTAGGACTTTTGGAGTTCAACAGTCATTGTTGCGAGCATGATGCAATGAACCTTCGTAGCATTTCGCTCATGAGTTTCGTAAGCAACGATTTCTTTGGGAGTGGCAGTGTTCACATTAACCTCCTTCAGCTCCTTGTCGAGAACATACTCTTTGTCCTCGTAGCGGGTGACCATGCGAATGTTGCGGATCCAATCGTTAAAATTGGACCCATCGAATATCACCCTCCCACACAAGTTCATGAGTGAGAATGAGTCGGAAGGGGTCGAGCCATAAGCGTTGTTGTTGTTCGAAGTAGACATCTGAAATAGAAAGGAACAAAGTTTAGATTAGATAAGAATCCCCAATTTAACACCCAAATGAGAAATTAGGGCTAGGACCCAACACAATTATTTACAATTTAGAAGAGGGATGCCGTAATCTAATTGCAAATAATTTGAAGGTAGGTAAATGACGATTTACTAATTTCCACCATGGAAAACGAAAAGATAATTAAGTTTTAAATGTATTGAAATTCCTAGATCTTTTGAGATTCATTGAACTTTTCAATGGCATGTTTAAATCTCGATATACCCTTCAAGTTTGTGACTGGGATACCGAGGATCACAAACAAGGTGTGAATAACCATGCAAATGTACTTGGTACTCTCGATGCCATTTACAACCTAATCAATGTGTCGGTTAGCCACACACCCTCCATTGATCTATGATAAACATCGAGTTACCCTTTGCCACCTTTGCTAGTCCCAAATTAGTGTGCCGGTTATCCACGCATGCTCCACTAATGACTTGGAAATGTGCAAAGTGTAATTTCATGGAATAGCATCATTTCACATTTTTCATAAAGTAACTAAGATTGAGAATTTTTATAAAAACATTTAGTTACTTTAATAAATCATTATACTTATTAATGAGGAATTAGTTGCCCTATCCTACATGTTTGGCTAACGACCCTCCACCAATCAAGGAAGCGGTGGGTGAGAGTGGACACCCATTAAACTGCCATTTTATAGACATCAACCTTATACCCCCCTTATAGATCGACTTCGTGAATGAGGCCTACTAACGGTAAGAGTAGCTTAATCTTATATACACACACACACACACACATATATATATATATATATATATATATATATATATATATATATAAATATTAATCTTATAATATTATAATAGTATAAGGGTCGAATTTTAAACTTGTAAAATTATAGGGTTTAGAATTTAAATATTTCAAAATTAAACTTTTAATCAAAAAATTTAAATTCCAAAACTTGAGTGCAAGTTTTGAAACTTTCAAAACATCTTTTAGATCAAATTTGAAAAATAATTAAATAATCATATTATTAATCTTTATCACATAATTTGACCTAATCTATTTTCTTTACAAGATAATTCAAATCAAAATACAAATAATTAATCTTTATCATATAAAACAAATAATTATCTTATTTATGACAATTATCTTCTAATTGGATTAAGATATGTATTACCATAACAACTAAAACGATTTTTAATTATAAAAATAATTTATGGTAATTATCTAAATCCAAACTTAGCCAAAAACCCAAAATTTTGCACTCTGACCCGCCACCACGTCGTGGCAATCTATGCCACGTCGTGGTCACCAGGCAGAAGCAAAAAAGCGATGAACTTTTGCATTGAACAATTAAGCATAACATCAAATACAATAGAAAAAGCATCATAGGCTCTGATACCACTGCTGAGTTTTGAGCAAAACATCAATCCTATGGTGCACATGCAAACCCTAAAGCTTTGGATCTAGTTTTTCTATTTGTACATGCAATAATCATCCAAAGCTCTCAAACCCTAATCTAGCATACAACAAATCGAAATCTACATCTAATGAAGAGTTAAGATATTACCTTTAATTGTAGCTTGAAGATCTTGAGCTTTTGAGAACCTAGCACCTCAAATGCGATGCCTCTGATGAATCACAAACACCAAAACAATTGGAGAATCTTGGGGAGAGAGGGGAGAGGTAATTTTCGGCTCTTGAATCCTTCTAGGGTTGTGGTAGCCGAATTTATGAAGCCTAGGGGTCCTTTATATAGGTGAGCTGCTAGGGTTTCATTCAAAACCCTAATTAGATTGCTTAGGCTCTAAGCAGTCCAAAGGATCATTCCAGAAGGCCCCTTGGACGATTTCTATGTGGGCTCCCACATAGAATTCGTCCACCCTTCCTTAGTGTTCCTCAGCCCATATTGCAACTATCACATAATTACAATATCAGTCCCCTTAATTTAATTAATCTCTTTTGACCACAAAATTAATTGTAAATTAATTCTTGACCAATATTAATTAAATAAATATGATTTCTCCTTTAATATATTGTTAATATAATATATTAATAAACCATAATAACCTCTTTATCTATTATTCTTCCAGTCAAGTTGTTTTGGTGAAGGCAACCCAAAAGGACCATGCTATAACCGGGTCAAGTACATACCAAATATAGTTATGACTTAGACACCTAATCCAACAAAAAACACATGATACAAAACGAAATTGGGATGAAATAAAAATTGAATTCGTGTTCGTGTTATGTAAAAGAAAAATGACATTGTGTCGTGTCGTGTTCGTGTCTGCAATATGAAATGATGATAACACGATAAATACACGAAATTAAACACGAATATGGCACGATTTTAAAATGATAATACCACGATATTGACATAATAGTTTGTTTTCACAAAAATTTAAATAATAATTTTTATATTTTAAGCATAGAACTATTGAAATAAAAAAGGTTTCCATCGGCTCCTTTGAAATTTGAACATGCGCTAGAAACTCAATCATCATTTTCTCTTCCCCATACTCATATTGATGGTTGTGTTAAATGCAGACCATGCAAAGTCGATTGTATTAAAGGATTCTTGATCTCCCTTCTCAACAATCTCAATCGTCCTAGGTAACCTCTATTTAATCGCAAATATCTATTCAACCATTATCCCAATCAACCCTAATTTTCCAATCTCTTTTTAGTTTTTACTCGATCGCACTTGTATTTGACAAAGCCTAAATAACCATTTTTGAACAACCAATCTGTCATTATTGATCGATACTAAGTGAAGCACTTCAGTGTATAGGTGTATCGTCGTTGTTGAACCAGTGAGCCACTCATAGCTTCTTCAAGGTATACGTATGCTCTTAAATCGATAACAACTTCTTAAATGTTTTGCTCTTAATCGATTCTCTGTTTTCGAAGCTCTGTCATCTATTGTAGCAAGTGTAGAACTTATATTTCTTATTTTTTTTTTTTGCTCTTAATAGAATCTTGAGACATGTAGAAATCTATTCTTATAGAAATCGATTTTTGAAACAATATGAAGCCAAATATCAAAAAAATTAGAAATCGATTTCTTATATATATATATATATATATATATATATATATATATATACACTGAATCTTAAGATATGTACCTCAAGGTATAGTGATTCTAGTTTTTTGATGCTCTGTCATTCTAGTTTTTTGTTTGTTGTGTTTTATAATTGATTCTTGTGGTTTAATTTGATTGATTGTTGTGTTAAATGTGATTGCTTGTTGTGTCATTCTCGGCTTTATAATCTATGGTTTAATCCTTTCTCAGTTTTTTATGTTCTTCCCAATTGCAAAGGATTGCGTTACTGATTACAAACTTTTTTTTCTAATGCTTTTTTTTTCTAATGCTTGTTGTGTTTCATATTCTCCTTTGAGTTGTAACATCCCTCTCTAGCACGTATCACAATATTGTTCGCTTTGGGATCCCGACACGGAAACTTCTGAGGGGGTCATCCATCCTTGAATTGCTCTTGTCCGGACATGCTTAACTGCAGAGTTGTTATGAGATATGTTGCCCTCACGACTTTAAAACGTGTTGTGACAGGGAAGGTATACACACCCTTTATAAGGAATGTTTTGTTCTCCTTCCCAACCGATGTGGGATCAAGTGCAGGTAGCTACCCATCTTCACCCCCCCCCCCCTTATAGGGTTCGACGTCCCTGTCGAACACATCGACCAATGCCCCAACTTTGATACGATATGTAATATCCCCTCTGGCACGTATCATAATATTGTCTGTTTTGGGTTTGTGACATGAAAACTTTCTAAGGGGGTCATCCATCCCTGAATTGTTCTCGCTTGGGCACGCTTAACTGCAGAGTTCTTCGGCTGATGTTTTATGTCGGTTGCCGGATCGGGATGAGCCCAAGAGTCATTAAAGGTTGACAGATCAGGTTGAGCCCGAGAGTCATTAGAGGTTGACGGATCGGGTTGAGTCTGAGAGTCATTAGAGGTTGATAGATCGGGTCGACCCCGAGAGTCATTAGAGGTTGAGGGATCGGGTCTAAGATAAAAAGTTTTCGATTGAAATATGTGAAACAACGAGAGAAAAAAAAAAGATTTTAATGACCAAGACAAAACATACCATTTACTTTTATATCATGCTAATCTTTAAAAGGTGTTTCATTTGTTGGAACCAATTGTATTGAGAAAACCTTTTACGGGTGTGAGAAACTAAAAGTTATAACTTTCTTTTTGGCTAAATTATAATCGAAAAACACTTGTACGGATGTGAGATATCATCCGAGAAATTGTATTTGATGATACACTGTGACTGAATACAGGATCCTTACACACATTCAACTTAAGAAACGAATGTACTTATTCTATAGCTACGAATTTGTTAACTTGCATGGGGAATCCTGTTGGTAAAGTAGTCAAAATGTAATACATTTATGTATGAAATTCCGAAGTTTTATATACTGTCTAAAACAATATTGATTGCTCATTTACTCTCTTCCAAAGGTTTTACTTTTATTATAAAATATATAATATTTATACTAAAATTACATCACACTTATTTCAAGAACCAACCGTTGTGCTCTCTCATACGGTCACACACCTACTCTCTTTACTCAAGATTCCTGATGCTTGAACCAAAAAAGTACTCATCTTGACGGAAACCCATGATTTCTTTTGCTTCTTTTTGTGTAATTTTCTCAGTTTTATTTACAACAATTCCATCGGTGAAATCTCAATCATTACGACCCACCGGTGAAATCTTTTTTTCACCAAGATTTCTTGACTCCGTTCTCCAAGACTATGCTTTCCGAGCACTTTCCCGGCACCGTCCGAGGACCGGAGTTGTCTACGACGGTAATGTGCCGTCTAATTTGACTGGAAGTACCGTCTCTGCCCTCCGCCTGAGAAGTGGTAGCTTGAGGAAAAGAGGGTTTCATGGGTACAAAGAGTTTGATATCCCCAAGGGCATCTTGGAGAATCCGTACGTTGAGAGGGTTATTTTGGTCTATCATAATTTGGGTAACTGGTCGTCGGTTTACTATCCTTTACCAGGCTATTCGTTTTTGTCGTCGGTGGTGGGTTTATTGGCTTACAATGCAGTTAATTTGACGGCAAAAGGGTTGCCGGAGCTGGATCTCTGGACATCGGAAAACCCCATTTTGATAAAGTTCGAAACTTTGGGGGTTGCGCCAGATGGGGTTTTGCCAAAATGTGTGTTTTTTGATTTATTTGGTGGAGTTGCGTTTGATCGTGTGCAAAATGGGAGCATTTGTTCGAGTGTAACCCAAGGGCATGTCGGTATAGTGATAGAAGAGAGGACACCGGCGCCAGTGCCGGCGCCGCCAAAAGTGCCGGAGTATCCTATTGCTGGTGGCGAAGGTAGTGGTGGTGGCGGAGGGAGGAAGAAAGGGTGGTGGGTTGGTGGTTCGGTAGCCGGTGGGGTTTTGCTGGCGACGGTCTTGGTGGTGTTGGTGTTGTGGGTGAGGTGGTGTAGCGGGAGGAAGAGGATAGGGAAGATGAAAGCTGCAGCGGAGGGCGGTGCTACGTTAGCGGTGACCGCCGTTGGTCGTGCTAAGGTACCGGTGGCGATGGGTACTCGGACAAAACCAGTTTTGGAAAATGAATATGTAAGCTAGATTATTAATTCCAAATATAAATTTTTTAGTCATAAAAGTAAACATTTAATTCCCACAAAGTGTTCTACACTCTACACTTTAGTGGCAGTTATATTTATTTTAATTGGTTTTTAATAATCGTTTCATCATTTATTCTCTTGATTTATTATCCCATCTGTATCATAAAAGTTACAGTATTGTTTCTGTAGGTGCAAATTTTCCTTTTCTAAATATTTTATATATTTGCGTAGTGTATTTTATGAACTTTTATATCGCTATCAGTGTAATTTTGATAGATATTGTTTATAAACTACAACTTTTGACATTTTCTTCAAATTTCTACCGCATATATCAACATTCATTCCATTTTGATACCACGTTACCTATCTCTTTCAGTTTGTGGAAAAAACTTATTTTGGATTATGTACTTTTAGTTAATTGTCATTGTAGGTAACATACTTTAAGAAACATGCTTATCGAAAATTAAAAAAAAATGATTTTTCATAATTAAGTTCTCATTTAATTATAGTACTTTTTTTAATAACATTTTAATAAATAACCTACAAATCACATATTACTATTATAGCCAACAATTTCGTGGTGGACCACTGCAAATTTGTTAATACGATGTTGTTCTTGCCAATGTACACTACAAAATGGCCCTCTTCTATATAACTCTCTACGAAATGAGACCACCGCGAAATGGAATCACTACGAAATCAGACCACCGCGAAATATAATATATAAGCATTCCAAGCATATTCCAAGCATACCGTTAAATTGGTTTTTGGGCCTATAAATAGATAGGGTTTCGTTTGAAACTATAATAACTAAAAAGTTGTTTGATAGTTGCTGATTTAGTCGGAGAGCAGAGGAAGTCAGATGGTTGATTGAGTCTGAAGTCTGATGAACATACATCCAATTAAAACGATATTGTTTGATTATGCAGATGGCTGATTGGGTCTGAAGTCTGACTGAACATACATCAAATTAAAACGATATTGTTTGATTATACATCTGACTCTGACTGAACATACATCCAATTAAAACGATATTGTTTGATTATACATCTGATTGAATGTGCTGAATGATAAAAATAACTATTTTATCCTTCTGTTCTGTTTGCAACTCTACATATGTTCATAAAAAAAAAGAGATGCAACATCCTAACATCAAACGATATAAATTCATCTTTTTTACATATATACATAAACGATATAAATTTTAGTTATTGAGCATGAATACAACTCATCACAAATAGCAAACAAGATGATTACCACGACCAAACTTTTAGTGCAAATTTTGTTATTCAAGTGACCATACCGTCATTACTTTCTGCTTTTGAACACCAAACATAAAACTAAACAAATAACAACCAATAAATGCAGTGCAGACTGCAGACAAGTGATTCGACTACAAACTACAATAACTTGATTCCGTTTCTAGACCAACTTTGAGTGATAATACTACCTTTGCTTTTAAATTAAATGAAACTAAATTGGGAACATTAGATAACAATACATTGGTTGCTCTTTTTCTTGAACTTCATTTCGACATTTACCAAGTCAAATATCTAATTTTTGAAAATAGAGCTCATATTTACTAAGTCAAATATAGCTCTATTAGGTGATATTAAACTCAAACACTAATTAAACTACATTATTATTCTCATAATGTAGCGGATAAGTTCCTGCTATAACTTATGATTCTAGATCTCGCGTAGTTACTATTGATATGTTCACAACTAGCATGAAATTTTACAAATGAATAAAAACATGTTCCTAATGCAATCCGAAATAATAAACCCATAGGGAGCTTCATATCTGAATCCCTTCTCCTGTCCTCTTTGTCCCCTTTCTAATCAGTTAGAATAGTAATTGAGATTCCATTAATTTCAATTTCAGAAAATCAATTTCAATTTCAATTTTTGAAAAATCAATTTAAGACCTTATCGACGTTTGGAAGAAGTCGACGTTGACGATTCACGCCTATTGCATTTCGAGATGGTGGAGTCTTGGCTTGTAGTGAAACCAACATCCATTTCGGACGAGGAAAGTGTGATTTCAGCATCAACTTCTGATGGTGTCGCTAAGGTAGCTGGAGGTGCCACTCAAGAGATCGATGTGTTTAGGGGAAAGGACATAGAAAAGAAGGTTTTTCAGTCAACTATTATTTTGTGAGGACTCTAAAAGATGAAAATGACTCAGTCAAATCTATGAAGTGTGTAAAACAAACAACCTGACTGGACCGAGTAAGATACTACCTCTTACTCGACCCAGCAAGAGGCTTATTAAATAAGGCCTAAAACTCTTTCTAAATGTTAGTGTTAGGTTTCATGTATCCATATGTTTTTTTAGGTTAAATGGAGAATTTTCCTTTCTAAGTTGTCATCCTACCAATAAATGTCTTCCTTAGTGGTGTGTGGTGCAGGACAACGATACGATCCATAAAAGTGTTGCATGCCAACGATCAAAAGAAGTGTGAAGTATTGTATTGCACCCTAAAATAATCAGTGTGCAATACATGTCAAAATAACTAAAGTTGGTATATATGGAGAAATTTAGGATATAAGATCCCTAAGATACATGAAATGATATCTATTTTTTGGTTGGATAACAAATTAGGTGAAAATGTGTTGGAAACTAATTTTTGTTCAATTTTTTATTGTTCAAGAAATGGCTACTATTTAGTATCAACATGAACTTACGGATCTTACATCCCAGATTTTAAGTAAATTGTTGTAATATGTACTTATTTAGTATTTCATAAATAAAATGTTGACAAAATTTCACGATTGGTGTCTTTGGTTTGTAAAAAGTATCACGTTGATGATAAATATCAAAAACTCTACATCGTGGATCCTCATGGTTTCAAAATCTTGTATGGCTGGTCGTTTTTGGCTAACTTCGATAGTAAAAAGTGTTAAGTACTTATAAAATGAGCAATTTACCCATCTTTATTTATTTTGTAAGTTTTACATTTAACTCTATTTTTCTTTTATCGTTTATCGTGTAAAAGGGACTCACGTCTTACATCTTGCATCCCCAATTTCCCTCTTACCAAACACCTCTCTCTCTCTCTCTCTCTCTCTCTCTCTCTCTCTCTCTCCTCCGTCGACCACCTGTAACTTCACCAAATCATAAATGCATAAAGATTTCATAGATTTCACCTACATTTGTAGATTTAAAAACATGATTGTTACCGGATAAACATTGTTATATGGATGTTGTGGAGTTTTTCAAACAAGAAGGTGTTTAAAAACATGAAACAGTGGTGGGAAAAAAATTAAAGTAATTATAGCTACTAAATAATCAAGGTTAGATAATTTTGTAACGTTTGTGTTTCCCGCTAGACATTGACAAGATGATGTTATAGTTAGTGTCAGCAATTGTAATCTTTTTGAAGTAATCAAAGAAAATTATGTGAATATTATGTGTTATGTTTATATATCATATGCTTATAATAATATAATAAAATAGAAATAAAATATGCGTCTAAAATAGAATAATAATTAGGCCGAATATCATTGATGAAAGATGAAGCAGTCGTGATAAGGATTCCGGAGATATAAGGAAACGCTCCAATCCGAATTATAACGAAGAAGTTATGACCCGTTGAAATTTCGCGATTAAACCGAAATGACTCCGAGTATTGTAAAAAGTAAAGTTTTGATAAATTACTTTTTAGACTAAGTGATCTAAACGAAGGTCGTAGTAGTCGTTAAACTGAGAGCGCGCATATAGAGAACGTCCAAATCTGACTTCGTAAGAGGAAGTTATGATTTTTCTAAGATTCAGCGCAACAGTGTGCGCATTGATATCGAAATTTAGATAGGTTGATTGTTAGCTAAAACAATATGAACGAGAGTTTAATATCTCATTGATAGGATTCCAACGATATAAAGACAGTCGAAAATGGACGTCGGATGACAAAGTTATGCATTTTATACGGGCTTTAACAGTCTAAGCTTGTGTGAAATAAATAAATTCAAAATTCGCCAATGGAGTCTAAATGAAAGTTGTAGATCTCGTCGAGAGCTTTCCATGGATATAAAGAACGAAAAAAATGGAGTCCATATGAAGAAGTTACGCAGTTTTGAAATCTTGAAATTTGGCACGCATCTATGCGCCTCGCACACAGAGTTCTAGAAGCCGTCACGATGCCCCGACCATTGATTGCCACGTGTCAAGCATTCAGAGGGAAATAGTAGCGCCCAAGAAGGTGTGCGGCTCGCACCTGCCCTTGTGCGGCGTGCCTGGTCGCTGGTTTGCCTATAAATAGTTGTTTTGAGTTCAATCTTTCCACACACATCTCCAAATCTCTCTCTCTCTCTCTCTCTATATATATATATATATATATATATATATATATATATATATATATATATATATTATATATATATATATCAATTTCTGCTCCTTTTGGTGAGAATTTTCTTAGTACTTAGGATATTTTGGCAAGTTTAGAGGTCCATAGGAGCCCGATATCTAGTAGCTATCAGCATGGAGTTCCGTCAGTGCAATTTCCCGACTTTTGTCTAGGAAAATCTCTGTAAGTTAAGCTACACTCTTCTTTTCGGTGTAACTTATATTTATAGTCATATGTCGTTGTTATGAACTTAGAAATAAGAACTATCAGTAATTCCAAGTTATAATACTGATTGATTTACTTACGGGAGAGGTGACTAGAATCAGTTGGCTTGGTTGTTGGATTTCTGGAAAGCTATTATGCCGAAATGGTCATGCCTCCCAACTGTCTTGTCTGGCTGATCCTTATATGATAGAACTATCGGTATTCATTGGAATGATTGATAGGTCTAGACTATATTTAGTCACACAAAATATTAGACTAAGACTTAATGATAATGATATTAGGTTACATCAAAGGAAAAGTCAATTGCTGGGAGCGAAGCGCTGTCCGAGTCTCGAATCATCACTTTAACAAGTGAGTACATATTTACTTTCATGTTATACATATATATGAAGTATCTAGATGATTATATGCTAAATGTGCCTATTATC